CTGGAGTGAATCATCCTAATAAAACCCACTGCTGTAGCCTATATTGTCTGCCTTGGCCTTTCTATTTGCAGTCCTGTCAAAATTTCCATCTTTTTTCTGCCTCTTCAGAAGAAGTGGGAAAGTCAACTATTTCCTTCAATAATAAAAGCCTTGTGACTAGGATAAAACGTAGCAAGTTTGGTGCCAAATACAATCCAGGAAATCACAAACGCTTTCTTTTTTCCCCCAAAGTCTTACGAGAAGGAAGAAAAAAAGAAAAAGATCTACGCTGTGCAGAGCTTGTATCTTAAATACTTTCTTTAGAATCTTAGAATGATTCCAATCTTTTCAGTAAAGGAAATTACTTTTCGAGGTGTCTCAATGTCAGTCAGGAAATTTGTGATGTTTAAATATTTTTTTGGGTGTGTGTGTGGCGGCTCCGCTCAAGATGCATTTCAAAATGTCACTGCTTTTAGCTTTATAAAGTGTGCCGTCAATGAACATTAGGAGTTGTGTGGATGGCCTAAAGTAGCGTGTTTCCAGGTGTATTCTGCTTACATTTGACACCAATTGGAGTCACTTGAGATCATTTTGGAGTTCACTGACAGGTGAATTTGACCTACATTTGAACTCCTTCTGACTGCCACTTGTCCTCTTAGCCCTCGTTCACACCTGAACGTTTTGTAGCGCGTTCTACGCTCGACGAACGCTCTACAAAACGCTCAAAAATATAAATCCCATTGTATTCAATGGTCTCGTTCCCACAATGGCGTATTTCCGCCCGTCCCTAACGCGCTACAAAACGGCCCACGCCTGAAAAGGTACAGGTACTACTTTGGGCCGTTTTGTTGTGCGTTTCCATTGGGATACAGCCAAGTAGCCTTCGGAAATGCGCGCCGGTCGCGCAACTTTTTTACCGCGAATCGCGGTAAAACAATGCGCGACAGACGCGCATATGCAATACGCCTAGGTGTGAACGAGACCTTAAGCTGCATCAACCTGCTTTCGCATTTCTATTGATTTGTATGAGGTGTGAAGCCGTTCTCATGCGTACAAAAGCCCATCCACACAGGCCTTTCCTTATGAAAAGCATGGTTAGACAATTTTGAGGGATGCCAGGTAGTGTAAATTAGCTTCTCTTTCATGTAAGAAAACTAGGTACAAGTGGTAACTGGCTGTAACTCGTGTAGGGCTCTTACAGTACCCTCCGGTCTACCAGTAATGATAATGGTGTTCGCAGATTCCCTGCCAAGATTTCCACATTCCCTGACAGAACCTCTAATGGCACTTGCAGGATTTATGCCAGTACCTCTAATGGTGCTCGCAGATTCCCAGCCAGGATTTCAAGGTCTCCCTGAAATGACGGTAGGTGTGTCCCCTGATCCAAAGTGTATTTTAAGTAACACTAAATTCAGGAGTTAAATCTTAAAAATGCTTTGAAGTACCTTCACTATTAACCAAAATGTATTTTATTTGTTAATAGTTCACTCGGCTGTAGATCCTCAAATCATCTCTGAATTGGTGCTGACACTGTCCTTCCTTCTGGAGGTGGGCTGCAGTTGTTCCTCATGGTCCCTGTGTGTGTTATAAAGTAAACACCGCTCCAAGCTCACTCCTGTGATGGACTACAATTTCAAGTTTAGTTTACTAATACAGGTGAAACTCGAATAATTAGAATATCGTGCAAAGTTCATTTATTTCACTAATGCAACTTAAAAGGTGAAACTAATATATGAGATAGACTCATTACATGCAAAGCAAGATAATTCAAGCCGTGATTTGTCATAATTGTGATGATTATGGCTTACAGCTCATGAAAACCCCAAGAACCCCAAATCCACAATCTCAAAAAAGTAGATTACATGCAATCAATAAAACAAGGATTGTACATAGAACAATATCGGACCTCTGAAAAGTACAAGCATGCATATGTACTCAGTACTTGGTTTGGGCCCCTTTTGCAGCACTTACTGCAATTACTTTTGCACGATATTCTAATTATTCGAGTTTCACCTGTATGTATTGAGATTATAGTCCATTACGGAAGCGAGCTTGGAGAGGGACCATAGGGAACAAAAAGTAGCCCCCCTCCAGTAGAAGGACAGGGTCAGCACCAATTCAGAGATGACTTGAGAAACTACAGCCAAGTGATACACAAATAAGATACATTTGTGTTAATAGTTAAGGTATTTGAATTCATTTTTAAGATTAATTCCTGCATTTAGTGTCACTTTAAAAGAGAACTTTGATGTAAGTGTTTTCCCCCATAGTTCTCTTAACGGTCACCGGAGGTCATATACTAGCATCCTCCCGTGACCCAAAGCTCAGTATATCTGGGAGACCGCTGCAGCCGGGACGGATCCTGACAATGCTGTCGAGATCCACCCAGCTGCGTGAGTGACAGCTGGCTCTGCCTATCTAGAGGCAGAGCCAGCTGTACCTTCCCTCCTGCCCGTATCTCCAGTCAGTGCTGAAGGATCAGGGAGGGGAGGGGGGAATCCCTGCGGGGAGCCGTGACTGACAGTCACTTCTCTCTGCAGGGAGATGATCGAGAAGTGAGCGAGCGACGGTATGTGTTCGCTCACGTCCCGATCAATTGAGCCGACGTGTGACAGTTTTACTGTCACGCATCGGCTCGAACTATGAGGATGAGTGATTTTCACTCACCTCATTGTTCTCCTTTAACCAGTTGACATCCGCGGTGTTAAACCCCCTTCCCATCCAGGCCATTTTTCAGTATTCAGCGCTGCGGTACTTTGACTGACATTTATTCCGTCCTGCAGCGCTGTACTGAAATGAATTTTATACCCTTTTTTGGGGACAGATAGAGCTTTCTTTTGGTGGTATTTATTCACCACTGGGGGTTTTATTTTTTTACTATATTAAAGGAAAAATTACCGAAATTTAAAAAAAAAAAAAAAACAAAAAACGGCGGCCGTGAACGAGCACATATAGACGATCGGCGGGCTATGGAGCCGCTAATCGCCTATATGTGAAACACCCGGTAACGGGTGTGTGCAATGCTCGGGTCTTTTCTGCCCGTGCGTGCCCGCTAGGGGGCGCGCGCGAGCAGAAAAAAAATGCCGTCTGGAGACGACAACCCGCCAATGCTGCAGTGCCGTCCGTCCGTGTTTTTACTATGGGCGGACGGCAAGTGGTTGAGTAAAGCTTTAAAGTCGAGCTGCCCGTCATCAGTGCCTTATTTCTACTCAAAATATTTTATACCGCTAACCAGTTAACTTCACCTGGTGGAGTACTGGCATGTCATTAAACATATTCCCTGGGCAAATCAGATTATAATCCTTTACAAATCCCTGTTAATACATAAACTTTTACAGCTTTAACTAGGGAACCAGTCTTGAGTTATATGTTATTGGTACCAGACTGGCAAGAATTAAAGTACCAGTTACAAACTTCTCTTCCATGCTTGCCTTCTACCGAACAAAAGGTTTCAAACAGGACGTTGCAGCTTTCTGACGAACGATCACACTGCTTTCTGGCAAAGTCTGCACAACCGTCCCTAGTTACAGATTTCAATTTCACCAACATCAGCAGTTAGTAAGACTATACAAGCTGCGCAGTCCTCCCCCTCATCTTCCTACCAGATTAACCACCATGCATTAAGTCATGACCATGTCAGCAGATGAAATTAAATAAGTTTTCCCATTTTATTTCCCCCACTAGGTTGCGCAGCTTATCAAAGTTGGCCCTTCTGAAGTTTAGGGTTCTAGTCCTTCCAGTACACTTCCCTTTTCTGTGTTCAATATTAAAAGTAATCACATTGTGATCACTATTACCCAATGACTCCCCAATTACAATATCCTCGATTAACTCTGCATTATTAGTGACAATTAGATCTAAGATGGCATTTTTTCTGGTAGGAGTCTCCACCATCTGGTCCATGAAATTGTCGCGCAACATGTTTAGAAATCGCCCCGCCTTTGCCGAACCCGAAGTTCCATTGGCCCAATTGATGTCTGGGTAATTGAAGTCACCCATCACGACTACATTGCCCTCTCTACCCACTATATCGAATTCCTCTGTAAATGTACAAATTTTTTACCAGAGGAGCTGGGCCAGCACAGTGTTATTAGACACTCCCAGAAGAGAAGGCTAGGATGTGAAAAAAGGGAGGGGTTGTGCTAGAGAATGGAGTCAAATTTTAATTCAAGTTCAAAGGAAGCATTCGAAATACACAATTTTTCGGAGCTTTTACCTGAAATTTAAAAAATTAGTGACAGGGTTCCTTTAAATCCTCACTAGATCATTGCTGGTCTATTTTTACTTATGGCCTTGTTCACACCGAAAGAGTGTGCGTTCCAGAGCGGTAGCTGCTGGAAGGCATCGCGATCGCTGTAAAACTTCTCCCCGCGTTTTGGGACGGGAGGGGGCGTGGAGGTGCATTGTATTCAATGGCCCCACTTCCACGCCCCCACCCCCACCTGACAAAACTTTGCTTGCCCTAATTTTTGTGTTTGCAGTTAAATGGAACGCTGGCAGAGTTTTGCCAGGCCTTCGATCGCACTGCGGGCAGGGGGGCGTGGAAGCGTGCATTGAATACAATTTCATACAAATTGAATACAAGTTACACAGCGATCGCGGTACGTTCCAGCAGCAACCGCTCTGGAACACACACGCTTTCGGTGTGAACAAGCGCTAAGACAGACCGCCACCACAAAATCTGGGGTCTGCTTTCCTCTGACTACATGGCTAAGGCATGCCACTGCCATCTCAGTACCCAATGAGACTGCCTGAATGGCCACTATGCACGCTCACCAACAGGTGGATGGCAGTCTATGGGGGTTGGCCATCATGTCTAAGTGAAAATAAATCAGAAAGGGCTTTTTTGACTAATAAAAGGCACAATCAAATGAACTCTAACCCACAATTTAAAACATCAGACACTGCGAAGACACAGACAAGTAGAACCAAGGAGGAAAACAGTACTTAAAATATTTGCATTCCTACATAAGCCCAATCATACTACTTAGTTACACATTCTAACAAAATAGGTTTCTTACCAGAGTGTGTCTTTGTTGGGTGGTGAGCTCCACCAGCCCCTTGCTGTGGAGGTGGGCTTGCCCCAGTATCCTGTCCGGTATTAGCACTGGTCAATGTCCCAGAAGGCAGTGGCTGTCCTCTCTTCAGAAGTTGCTTCTGTTCTTGCTGGCGGAAACGTGGAGGCACCTCACGTGGCAGATAACGGGAGGCCGCTGCTTGCTGGCCATTGGCAGATGCACGCTTTCCATTGCTATTTGGGACAGTGCTGGAAGTACTGGGTGTGGCAGTTTGGGGCTGGTTGGAACTGATCTTGACTGGATCTGGCACTAAGAAACAGAGAAAACGCTTTTTACTAAGGTGAACATCTACATTAAGCAAAAGCAGCTTTAACTACACAAAAAAACAATGTCACTATATTTTTAGTATTAAAATACATGAAAATTAACTGAATTCCAATATATCCTCTACAACATTTTAGTGTTTGGTGGATGTATCAGTGAACACAAACATAGATGTTACACCAGTCTAAAACAGTTAACAGCTGATTGGGGGGTAGTACATAAATATTTTTTTAACTGGTTTAAAATACCCCTTTTCTGCCCATGTAGTAATACACAAAAACATAACAACAAAAAAAGCACAAAAAACACCAAAAAAAAACTGGTTTACATTAGTCCTCCTGTGACCCAAAAGAGAACTAGAACCAAAAAAGGTTCTCTCTTAAATAATGAGCAAATGTTGAACAGTAACAAGATCTCGGAGCTCCTAAAAATCAGAGGGCTTTGGCCTTGTGATGATGACATCAGTTTGAGATGCTTCCAAGACCATTCTGAACTCATTGACTGTTGCATCTGACCTGCATGTGACCTACTTCAAGCAGGTTTAAGGCCCGGTTCACACCTGGGCATTTTGTAGCGCGTTCCTATGCTCTGCAAAACGCTCAAACACCGAAATCCCATTATTGCCTATGGGCATGGTTTACACCTGGGCGTATTACAGGCCGTATGAACGCGCTACAAAATGCCCTACGCCCAAAGAAGTACAGGAGCTTCTTTGGGGCGTATTTGCCACGCGTATCCATTGGGATACAGCCAGGTAGCCCTTTGGAAAAGCGCATTTGTTGCACGGTTTTTTACCGCGCGTCACAAAACGCACGACAAACGCGCATATTCGATATGCTTAGGTGTGAACCCAGCCTTAGGGCTAGTTTACTCCAAGCAGCTGCAGAGCAGAGCAGAGCAGTTACAGACCGGATCAAAACTGCGTCCAATGTATTCCAGTGGTATTTTGGGCTCTAGTTCTCACCGCAGAGTTCAGTTTCAGAGCATGTGGAAAAACTGCAGAAAGCTCTATTTTTCCTGCTCTGGAACGCATTCAAATCCCCTGGAACGCACTGAAAGCCCATTTTAGGATATACATTTTTTTTTTTAAAAAGGGGCCGGAACTTGTCAAAAAACACACTGCATGTGCAGAAACTCATGCAGATCTGGTCTGCATTTGGTGCGAACAAGCCCTTATATTCCTATAGACTTTTACATGAATGCAAAACCCCTTGAGGCAAACACATCGACACAGTACCTTAAGAATTTGCATCAGATAAAACAAACTTTGTACTAAATGAAAATCTATGTAACCCCAATCCACAAAATCACATAATACGCTAACTTTACAGTAATTTCAAATAATTTTCAACTCTGCATCTTTTATTACCATTAAGCCTGGTGATGGTGCCCTGAAGGTCTTTGCTCAGATACACACACTATAAATAGATAGCAATCGCATATGATCCACAGTGCTCTGGAAAACTATGTCATTCATTAATATTGGCCATACACTCTGCATTTTTTTTATACAGTACAGCTCAACTCATCCCTTCCACGCTATAGGAAAAGTGTGCATACCTACAGTTGTACTTCAAACCCCATTTCCACCTTTGTAAATATATTTTTTTAAACATATGCCAGAAAGCTACATGAAGCGGGCATATGCAGCTGATGTATATGAACACAGAAACTTTCATTTTGTTAGCTTTCCTCTTCATATCCTCATGAAAATTGTTGCCTCTGTGTAAGAAATCTGTGTATGCCTCCCACCCCCCCTTCCAGACAATGTATTGTGTGTAAAGGCAGAGGTGGTGTTCACTGATCATGTTACAATTGGTGACAGGGGCAGCTGATTACATTCTGACACCCCGGTGTCAGACTGAATTTCCCGTGGAGAAAAATTTGAATTTTTAGGCTTCAGGCCTAATAAAACCTTCATAAAAAATGAGGAAAGCCTAAAATGTGAGTAATAAAAATGTGCACATGTATACATCATCACTACACCTCATTACCACAATAAATGCTAATCACTTACAAAGGTGGAAATGGACTTTAAGGTGAGACTCCAGTCAGAAAAATGTTGACAAAGTGGAAGGAAATCCAAAATGTTAAAGCTGTTGCAAGCGCTGGAGTAGAGGGGTTAATCACAGATGTTTTGATTAAATCTGTCAAATTTTGAATTTCCCTCAATTTAAAAGGAGTTTCTCCTGACTTCCTGTCCTGTCTCTGGAATGTGACAGAGGTTTGATCACTTTCTCAGGTATACTGCTGTAAACCTGCTTTATTGTCCAGTGAGCAGGCTGGAGGCAGAGAGGAGACCAAGGACATTGCAGTGCATGAAGCCACCTAACTGTGGAGTGTATTGAGAGGCTTGCCTGGAGTTCCATATTAACTGCAGCATTACACTCTTCAAAATGCTGACGGGGGGGCGTGGCTTGGGCATGCAGGAGTGAGGACGTGCCTGTGAGAGCTCCCGTCCCGGCCGCTAACAAATCCACTGACATCCGAGCAGCTATGCACCGGAGAGGATCACAACATAAGCAGGGGAAGAAGCTCATGCTGGCTTTATTTTATTTTTATTTTTTTGTTTTACTCTGTTTCTGCCCGTAGCCGTAAAGTCTTGCTGGAGTGCTATTATCCCAGGATGTCTACTCTCACATAGCCTACCTCCTCAGGAGGAACAAAATGTGATTTTTTGTGAAACGAGAAAAATAATTATACAAAAAAAAATGCTGACGGGAAATCCAAAGATCTAATGCAAGATAGACTCATGCAAGCCCCAAATCCCCAATGCGTTCTCTTGATGCTGTTTGGGCCTATTTACTGGTTTCTCAAGCACTAAAAGGGGGCAGCAATTGAAAATGAAATTCATGAAGATATAAAATAGTCAACTAGGAGGCAATTAGAAGGCGGTATGGTAAACTTTAGATCTAGAAGTGTCGCTGTGCACAAAAGTGACATGTAAGCATTCCCACGAAACAAAGTTGGTGCCTTTTTGTTATAGGCGACTTAAGTTGCAATATGGGATAGGTTGTTAAAGTGCCTGCTTCCAATCCAAGGCTTTCTTTGGCATTTCAAGTTATATTTAGACCCGCTAGATGAATGGCATCAAGTGCCGAGTTATTTTCGTGCTGCTTCTCAGGACAGCAAGTGAAGGATGAAAACGTAAGCTCAAGGCTACCAATTCACGATCATCAGCTCAGGGGGTGAACGTTTCCTAAATTAAAAGTACAACTAAGGGATCCTGCTGTATGACAGTCAACCAAGCACAAAATCCAGTTGTATTGTGATGAACAAGCTTCAAAGTAGACAAAGTTCCTTTACTTTCCCTGAATGAGGTAAAACCTCCTTCTTTTGAGTCTCATATGCGCAGCAAGAGGCACTGCTGTCAATCCAGACAAGCTACATATAATGCCAATAGCCACATCCCCCTACATCAGTGGTTCTCAACTCGTGGGTCACGACCCAAAAGTGGGTCGCGACACCCTCTGCAGTGGGTCGCGGCGTCATGTCTGCATAGACCGGCCCATCTGCATTAGAGAGATGCTGAATACTGCACTAGTTGTTTTGTGTAATAAATTTAAAATGTTTCAGAAATGAAATCATTTTTGGGTCACGCCTTAATGACCAAGGAAACATTTGGGTCCCGAGGTTACACAGGTTGAGAACCACTGCCCTACATCATCATTCCATCCCACTGTAGAGCAAGCAGGCACAGTCCACATGAATGGCATCCTGGCTCTGATTTCAGGAGCAAGGCAGCATCATTGTCACGCCATCACAGGAAGCTGCATTAGTTGGGCTTTACTGCCAGGATTAACCTCTTGCCGTCCGCCCGTAGTAAAAAAACGGAATACCACCAAAAGAAAGCTCTATCTGTCCCCAAAAAAGGGTATAAAATTCATTTCAGTACAGCGCTGCATGACGGAATAAATGTCAGTTAAAGTACCGCAGCGCTGAATACTGAAAAATGGCCTGGATGGGAAGGGGGTTTAACACCGCGGATGTCAACTGGTTAACAGGCATTTATGGGAGTTTGCAGGAGAACCAAGAGGAAACTGTACAGTGACTTGCAAAAGTATTCACCCCCTTGGTGTTTCTGCATTACAACCTTGAATTAAAATGGGTTTGTTTTTACACAACATGCCTAAAACCTTGTAGGTGCAAAGTAATTGTTATTGTGACACAAACAATAATTAAGACAAAAAAAAACCAAAACTTGACGTGTGCAAAAGGTATTTACCTCCCAAAGTTTAAGAGGAACTTTACCCATAGCTTCAAAACAACAACAAAAAGGTACCTTTAGAAATGTTTTAGTAATGACAATCTACAAAGAGATACTTCTAGATCATTGCCAGCTTTTTATTCTTTGCATATCTTATTTCTCTTTTCTTCCCAGTTTCCTGACAGTCGCCATTTTAACTAAGGGCACTAAGACATGTGACCATGCACATAATCTCGGGAGGGGGGGTGCCTTTCCTTGAGATCTCATGAGATTACAGTTAAGATTTCCCAGCAATACACTGCTGATGTAACCTTTCCAGGGTGCAACACTTGGGCACATTACATGATTTGTGCCAAAGAGGACCAGGAAATGGAAAAACAATTGTAAGTAAAAGAAAAATATGTTTAGCTAATGAATGCAAAATTATTTCATATCAGAATGCAAAGCTGTATGCTGATGTGATTTTTAGTTAAAAGGGGGTAAAGGTCCACTTTAATTCTTTGTAGAGCCACCATGTTGCAGGGCCTCTCTATTAGTTTAGCACATCTAGCCACTGGGATTTTTGTCCATTCTTCAAGGCAAAACTGCCCCGGCTCCTTCAAGTTACATTAGGTTAGCATTGGTGTACAGCAATCTTCAAGTCATGCCACAGATTCTCAATTGGATTGAGGTCTGGGCTTTGACTAGGCCATTCTAAGACATTTAAATGTTTCCCTTTAAACCATTCAAGTGTAGTTTTAGCAGTATGTCTAAAGTCATTGTCCTGCTGGAAAGTGAA